ATATATATACCTCGGTGCGAGGATAACTACATCGTATGCAAGTATGCTGATTCATCCGTATCTGAATGTGCAATTATTTGATAAGATTGGACCAAACTAGCTAGGTAGCTCCATCAATCAATTAATTCATAGAGGTACCACCCTGTCTTCCGCCATACAAATTAGTTATGTCGGCGAATACGTTTCATTGTCAAAATTAATGATATCGTTCCCTAGCTATAATGGTGGATATTTTTATATTTATTTTAATATTAATCATTTTGTACTTATATAAAAATTTAATTAATTTAAAATCAAATCGTATTAAATTATATGAAAGAAAAATTTTTTTAATGTTTATTTTTTAATTTAAAATATTAAACTCAAAATTTTATTTTAAAAAAATTAAATTTTTTTTATTTAGATTAATGAATCATTGATAAATATTTCTATCATTTAATTAAAGTGTGTGTAGCCACCGAACAATCAGGAACTTGATTGGCTAAAATTAAAACCAAAGCATTAAATTAAAACCATCCAGAAAGCGCCCCAAATGGATTCAATCACAGTTCCAATTTGCTACGGCACACCTATTTCGTTCTTTGTTCACACTTTGCGCGAGTTCCTAATACTATCAGATTCAAAAGTCACGTGCTTCAAGCCCAAGAGAAACAGCCATGCCCGGCCCCGCGGCGGCTCGCAGGGCCAACGATTCAGCCATCAAATTAGAAGATATTGCACGCAAGGTTGAAATTAAGCTATACCATCTAGCAGTATATGTCTACTTCCCATTGATCCCCACATTCAACTGCCATATATAGAAGATATTGCACGCATGGTTGAAATTAAGCTATACCATCCAACAGTATACAAATACGCCTGGTTGAGGTGGACGTGCAATACCATTTTGAAAGAGTAGAACAAGGGCTAAATGCATTATTCACACATGCAATTAAGAAATCCTTCTCCTGCCCCATCATCCGAGCTCGAAGCATTTGTTCTTCTGAGTTCAGGTGTTTTCCTTGCATACTAGTATACAACAGCCTCATTGCCTCCCTTCCAAATATACTTAACCATGAGAAATGGTAATAGCAACAGCCATTTACCGGAATGATTAAATATTGTCAAAATCAATGTAATCCAAATTAATGAAGACATTATGGGAATTGAAGAATTTATTTGATGTCACATGTTTAAATTACTATTAAACAATAGTAGTTCAGATTAAAAAGTATTTTTTAAATTAACTTTCATTAAAAAAAATGTCATAAAATTATTAAAATATTTTTAATAAAATTTTTTATATTAAATTATTAAAGATATGTAATTAATTTTATAAAATTTTCTACATATATATATTTATAAATCAACCTAAAAGCACCTACCTAATTTTTCGGGTCAACTGGCAATCTTGATAATCTATCAATTTGAGGTGCATTTTCTTTTTTCTATGATCGAGTTTCGAGTTTGTCTTTTGACAATTTGTTTAAAAAATAATAATAATAAAAAATAAATCAACCTAAAAATCTACAACTTCATAACAGTATATACTAAAGAAATAACTAAAGTTACCTTACCTTCGAACAAGCTTATTCTTGTTGTCTACTTGTAGTTTGGTTGAATTTCTTACCGTCTAATTTGGACAACTCATGGAAGACAAGATGGTGGACAAGACTGTCGTCGACCCACCAATGTCACGTGCAGTGGTGCCTTTCCGTACAATTCTTCATGCCCGGTTCAGCGCTGCCCACGTGATGACACCGTCTCCTCCCGTGGTCTCGTTTGCTTCTTTCTTTATTTCGAAGTAAAATTTACTTTATGGAGTTTTTATAAAGGTGTTTTCGGGGGAATACAAATTGGGATAGCTGTTTTTGTAGTTTGTTTGGTATATATTGTATATTTTTAACTAACAATAAGATGAATTATCTAAATATTAAAGAGTTTGTTTTTCTTTTTTGTTAATAATTATAAAATATGTAATGTGTATTACAGTACATTATTTTTTTAATTAAAAATCACTTAATTAACATAAAAAACCAAGTTTTCGGTCACTCTCCCTAAAAAGGAAGGAAACAAAACCCTACTAACCACTTCCATCCTCTCTTTTATTCCTATCTTTTTTATCTCTCTTTTTGATTTTTTTTTTTTAATTTCTCTTCTTTTTTATGATTTTATTTTACTTTTTTAGTTTCTTAAAGGGTTTTTTGCCTCTCTTTTAAGATTAACTTATGTAGGAGTTCATCATTCTGGATATAGTCCTTGTCAATTTTATTGTTATTTAATAAACTTTCTTATTGAAGGTTTAGAGTAGGAGAAATGGTTAATGTGATCGAATGTATTACTTTGGAATACTTTTAATAGCAAATTATCTTAACAATTATCTTTTCATTTTTTGGTTTTAGTGAATTACACTTACTTGCCACTTTACTATCAAATTAAGAATTGAATTCAGCTATAATATTTTATTGTCAAATTAAGAATTGAATTCAG